TTGGAGGAGGCGGTGTAGTGGTCTCGGTTGGGATTTACACTGGAGGACGAACTGGACTCCATATTATTGAAGGCAACCTCACGACCGTCCGTTATATCCAAGAAATTATGGAGGAATACATCCCTCAACCAGAGTTCTCATTGGCAGGGATTTTCGATTTGTGGATGGCAATGATTGACCTCATAGAGACAGTTGTTCATCAATGTTTAGAAAACCTGGGAATTTCCCATCTTCCCCTTCCCCCATTGTAATAATAATAATAATAATAAGTTTATTGCACACAAGAAGAAAAAAATTACATATAATTCAGACAAGAAAATAAACTTAATACGGCAAGGTAACCGTCTGCCGGAGCTTGGATTAATTATTGACTAATCCTGTAAAATAAACGTACAAATGCATTAAACTAAATCTATGCTAAGTGTAATATCTATAACAAAATACTAAATCAAAAGGACACAAAACTGAGAAGTAAAAATCAATGAGCGGAGCTGAGACCGGAGAAACAGAAACACCAAATATCAAGGGAAAGAGCGGGGGCAAAGAGATGGGCAGTAAAAGGGGAAAAGAAAAGAGAATTACTAATTAAATTCGTTTACTATTAGCCTTCGATAGGCCCAGGCCGCTTTAGCATAATTTACCAAGTTTGTCCAATCTGGTCCGTTTAGCAATCTGAGGCATCTGTCCATTGATACGGTTCTTTCCCCGAACGCAGACAAACGATAGGGGGACAGAATGGGGCATTCCGCGACAAAATGGTATATGTCTTCCTTTACCCGGTAACTCACACTCCTGTTGGCTGAGGAGATCATACGGCTTATGCCGTAGGTTCAGCAATTCTCCCCTCAATTTTAGGATCCAACGTATGTCTGTAATTTTCTTATTTGGCTTTTGGTCCTCAACCAAGCTGGCACATCTGACTCCGTGATCTAGCATCCTGTATATACGGTTTCGAGGGGAAGTCTGCACTCTCTCTATGTTGCTCACCATAAAACTATCTTTCAGTCGTCTAATAATTGACTGGAGTTGAAGAGAGAGAGCCTTACTCTCGGGTTGCAGAAAGGACAAACCCCCCTGTCCGCCAGTCTCCCCCAGTCAGCAGCCCAAGATATCCCCAGCCTGATGATCTCTTCAGCCACCATACGGGGGAATCTGGAGTGGTCCATTCGGAGCACCTTAACCAAATAACGACCACTCAGAGTCAACGTGAATAGAAAGATGGGGTGAAGGCCGGTTTCAATGTGCAGTATGCAAATTGGAGTGTAGTTTGGAAGACTGAACAGTTTTCGTATGAAGAACCACAGCACTCTCTCCATCTCCACGAATTCCTCTGATCCCCATACTTGTGCAGCATAACACAGAATTGAGCGTGAGACCGCGTTAAAGATATGCAGCCTAGCCATTAGCGGGATCTGGGGCTGCATCATTGCTCTCGCCAAACAGAATTAAGGGCAAACTTGGCCGAACACGATTTCTCCGAGAAGTGGGATTTCCAAGAAAGTCGAGAAGTCAGTTGTACTCCTAGGTATGTATAACGATTTACCACTTCTATATCGTAACCTTTGTATTTCCAACGCTCTTTCGAGCCAAGCCTACCTCCCCTGCGGAAAACAACTATCTTCGACTTTTCCAGATTCACCCTAAGATTCCACGTATCACAGTATTCCTCTAGTTTGGTAATATTCTTTTGTAAGCCACGTGGATTGTCAGCAAGAATTACGATGTCGTCAGCGTACATAAGTTCTTTTATCCACGCGTCCCACTGACACTCCCGTCACCAATATATCAAAATCGTTCAAGAACAACGCGAATAGGAGGGGGCTTAATAGACAGCCTTGCCTTACACCACTGCCAACTTTAAAGGCTTCTTTTCTTCCAAACGGCGTCCACACTGACGAGATTGATTCAGAATACAAATTTCGTATGATCGCTATGAAACGAGAAGATATACCTATATTAAACAGTTTTAGGAACAACGCATCCCTATCTACCGTATCAAAAGCAGCTTTTAAGTCAACAAAAAGGGCTTAAAGTTTTCTTCCTTTTCTGTGTAATCCCATTTTGGTGATATTAACCAAAACAAATATCCAGTCGACCGTCGAATATCCCTTTCTAAAGCCGGCCTGGCACTCATTGAGAATTTTATTCCATTCGACGAACGACTCCAATCTGTTTAAAAGAAGTCCATAGAACAGTTTGCCTATACAGTTCATAAAGGATAATCCACGGTAGTTTCTGGCCTCATACGTCGATCCCTTTTTAAATAGGGCTTCCCCCATTGTATCCCGTCTTCAATTCCATTGAGCACAAGTGTGATGCGTTCTATTTCGATCACCATCCGCAGCCAGTTGATCTAAAACAAATGAGTGCAGCGTTGGATCTATGGAGTGAAATTCCTTATGAAATTAGTGACAAACTTATTAACCATATGCCAAACAGGTGCAAAGGGATTTTAGTTAACACAACATTATACATGGTATCAATTCTTTTTAAAAAAATATTGTGCCCAATAAACAAAATTATGGAATTAAAACTTTTTATTTTGTTATTTTTCCCTTAATTAAATTTTCCTTCAGTAAAAAACAATAATTTCTAATAAACTTTAACGCAATTTATAATAAAAATAAAATAAAAGTACTAGGAAAAGTAAATACTACAAAGTTGGCAATATCCCTCTTCATTTTTCAGCAGTTAAGTTTTATACGGGCGTTCGGCAAGATATGAGGAGTTTCCCGTTTTTGGGAACAGGATAATTATTGAACATTTTCAGATCAAAGGAATGTGAGCAGTCTGTTGTAGACGTCAAGTAATTAGTATTCAAGGTTTATGTTATAAATTTTAACTTATAATATGGAGCTTCTAAATTCCTAGTGACGCAGATTAAACCAAAATCGCTTTCCCTTAAAAAAAATGCAATTTAAATACTATTAATTGATATTCTGAAAATGTAGCCTTTTTTTCTGAAACCTCAGAAGGTAAGCGGTGTTGATGATGAACAACTATGAATAAACCATGGTTACACTAACAGCAATTATTACAAGGAAGGCACTACGCACGGAATTAATCGTTAATTTAACAGATCTCCATGTACAAACTGAAAAGGTAAAAATTTTTTTTGGCGAAACTATCTCAAGAGTTATGAGCCTTCGGGTAAAGCGGGGAACAACCCTTACCCGATTCTACCCGACGCCTTGTCACGTTTTGGTAGGGTGTGAACATCTATATGACGTCAAGCGCACACCACGTACAGTCACACAGCGTGTATCACAAATCAGTATCACAATCCCAACGCCTCTTTAGTTCTTAATACATTATTTTGAGACAAACCATGTAATAAATTGTTAGTTTAATTTTATGGGCACAACCATATAATAAATTGTTAGTTTAATTTTATGGGCACAACCATGTAATAAATTGTTTGTTAAACTAATTGCTTTAAATAAAGTTATTCCGCTGTTTTTATACATTTTCTTTTTACTCATCATAAATAAATAATTTTTATAAAAACTAATGAATTTTTGATCTAGTTTAATTTGGTTTACATTAAAATAGAAATGTAGTAATTAATATAACGACAAAATTACACTTACTACTTAGTTTGAAATAAACTACAAAAAATATGAGTGTCCTATTCCGACGCTACACGACGAAAATGGTGCAATTTTATGAGCAAAACCATGAAATAAATTGTTAGTTAAATTCATGATTTCAAAAAAATGGTATTCCGGTGTTTTGATCAATTTCCTACCAAACCATTAAAATTAATTTTCTTTTTTCAAATAAAAATTAATGAATTTTCGATCTCGGTTAATTTGGTTTATATTAAAATAAGTTCGTTGTAATTAATATAACGACAATAATACATGTAGTTTGAATAAAAATATGAGTGTCCGGTTCTTTTGTCTTCGACTATACTCGATCCTACTCGACGAAAATCTGGACAGTAGGACAGGATCGCATAGCGTTGCGTAGCATCGGGCCGATGTGCACAGGGGTAATAAAGTCTTATGGAAAATTGGACATGGAATTGCGTCGGATAGCGTCGCATAGCGTTGCATCGGGTGTGTTCTCAGCTTACCTGCTTTTTTCTTTATTTTGAATGACGTTTTTGTCTTCATGAATGTGCACTTAACTAGTATTTATAAACATAGATTAATATTCCGGTGTGTATAATATATACTGCGCCCTTTGAGAGCTATTCCTACCTACAGCACACAGGTGATTTCCAGTGGATCAAGAAATTTGAATAGTTAGTACGCCCGGGTTCAGTGGTTGAATTTCTTCTACGGCCACGTTTTACATCACAAAACACTTCCTCCTGAAGGAAAATGTGGCGCCACAGTTTGTTACTAGGTGTCTTCTCTGCTTCATGGCAAAATCTGTTGGATTATCCCAATCTTCTTCAGACTCCCATTCAGTCTGCTGTGCCCATTCAAGAATTCTGTCAGGATATGAAATTTTTCCTGCTTCCTTGAATGCCTTGCTTGAATGAGTGTTTGTTGGATTGTTTTTGTCCAATGAGTAAATTCCACATTTTCAATTTGTCTTTTTATCTAAGATTCTCATTGATAGCGTGAATCTCTATACCACAGAAGGGATTTGAACATATCATTGGTATAGCAATCCATTTCCTTGCAAGGGCATTCGCTCTAGTTTCCCTCTACTCCTACATATGCTAGGGCCCAGGAGAGAGAGAGAGAGATNAGTGTTTGTTTTCCTTGTAGATGTGTCATTCTTGTCCGTTGTGTGACAAAAATGAGAGCGCTATCAACACGACAGACAAGAATGACACATCTACACGGAAAACAAACACTTTGTGCCCTGAAGATGATCTCAATAAAGATCGAAACGTTGACACGATAAAGGAAATGTTTTTCTGAAACCTACGTCATACCAGACCGCATTTCACGATCTCCGAATAATCATTGACTACCGGTCACTAAACGAGTTAAATTTTATAATAATTTTATTAATAACACACTAGTACTGTTTTAATTTTTTCAATAAATGTTTCCTTAGTCTGTTTTAGGCAACATAGTCTCGTTTAGAGTCCATGCACCGAGCAGCGGAGCGTTTTTGCTCGACATTTTCGCAAACACTGTCACACCTAAAGAATACCTGACAGGCGAACCGATGAAATTTAAAAGTGTTTGCAAATTTAAAATCATGTGCGAAGATTTACAGACAGTTATGGTGCCGTTACCGGATTGTGCGAGCGGAGAGTGGGGTCCGACGAAAGCTACAAGACTCTTTGGATTGATACCAATAACACACCAGGTAAAACGACAACAATAAACTATTTAGAATATATAAATGGAAAAAAAACCATTTCATTCAATTTTCGGTCGACCAGTTAACAATCCATTTTCTTTATTATGAAAAATTAAACAATCTAAATCATTATGTAATCAAAATTAGATCATAATTAAGGGTTTTGTTTGTAGGAGGCTTTGATTTTTGCTGGACGGGAACTTGAAATACAATTTAGAATGTCGAGGCCTTTGATAGATTTTATGGCGACGTTGCATAAGAATGGTATCGAGGAAAAGAGATTATCAAAATATGTATCCTACGCTATAGCGGACAGTGATATGGTGACATTTTCACTTTCTTTTCCCGAGGAAGGACAATATGGGTTGGATATATACACAAGAGAAATGGGTAGAACCCCAGAAAAATACCTTCTCACTCACTGTTGCAAATATCTTATAAACAGTTCTAAGAGAAACTAAATCGAATTCCTGTTAATATATATTAATATTCTTTTGTAAAGTATTTTAAACTGTATTGATGATGTAAACAGTTACACTTGTGTCAATGATTCGTATTTTATATATTGATTTTTTACAAATAATGTTTTCTTATAACTACAAATTTATATTGTTTAATTAAATTAGTTTGATATTAATTTTTTGCAATGTAATATTATACGAAATGTTCATGCCAAAATGAATCTGGCATAAACGCATTACAACAGAAATTTTGCATAAAAAGCACATGAATTTATCGATTGTTGGAAACGTAACTTTTTTAATTGAGCAATTTGTAATAATTTTTCACTAATCCCATGTACAATGATGAATCTTTTAAATAAACTTTACCAATTCTCACACATATAACACAATTTAATGTACAATAACCGATTACACGATCGCACTAAAATATGATAATTAAGCAGAGTTGCACCATGTTCTCTGTTACAACGCGAAGAAGAACATTGTTATATTATAGCACACTAATTATTTATTTTGACTATGTTATCTATGGTATAAATAAATGTATAATTATTTTGCAATAATGTGTTTATATGTAATATTATCAATTGTAATAAGTTCATTAGTGAAATAATTGTTGTTATGTACACTCCGATATAAATATTGTTAATATAAATTAATTGAATGTTATTTATTTTGATAATAAAATGTTGACATAACAAATCAAATTGATATACACCAATAATAGTGTTTCTTTATTTGCGCTAAATCAAATTCAAAATACATTTTTCGAGAAATGTGCTATTTTATAGTGAATGAGTGAGTGAGTGTGTGTGTGTGTGTGTGTGTGTGTGAGAGAGAGAGAGAGAGTGAGAGAGAGAGAGAGAGAGAGAGAGAGAGAGAAAGAGAATCAGGGAGTTACTACTTAACCTAGCCATTAACTTACTTAACCTTAAGCAAAACCTAACCTAACTATTCTATATCCATCAAACCATAGCACTTCCTGTTAACATAAAATCAATGACAGGAAAGTGGTCATATAATTAATTATTATGGAGTATTTAGTGTGTGATCATCTTTCCAGATTTATTAAAACTCGCGTTTTACACTCACATAATTTCTCTGGAAAAACATGAAATCATGGACATATAGCGAAATCTGTTTCTAACTCTAACGATCAACCTAAACTACCTTACTTAACCTTAACCCTAACCTAACCATTCCTAGTCTAACCTAACCCAAACCATGCGCACTTCTTGGTAACATGAAATCAATCACACGAAAACGGTCATACAAAATAAATTGCCTACCCAGCCCAAATACATTTCCATTTTAATTAATTCACACACAATTATTAATTAGGAAGTTTATAGTAGCTAATAATTCAACTTGATGCATTAAAACCTGCACTTTACACTCGCATATTTTCTCTGGAAAAACATTAAATCATGGATGTGTAACCTAGCCTGTTCCTAACTCTAACGGTTAACCTAAACTAACCTTACGTAACCGTAACCCCCCCCCCCCTAGTAAATTCCAGATTTTCAATTTGTCTTTTTGTCTAAGATACTCATTGATAGCGTGAATCCCTATGCCACAGACGGGATTTGAACATAACATGAGAGAGAGAGAGAGAGAGGGAGAGAGAGAAAGAGAAAGAGAGAGAGAGAGAGAGAGAGAGAGAGAGAGTGAGAGAGAGGGACAGACAAATGAGAGACCACTCCTAACTATGGGTTTTGAGTATTTGATTCCAGGACTCCTGCCCCGTTCCTTTCTGCTTTATTTTTATTTATTTGTGTCCTTTGTTTGTTGTAACTTATCGAAGGAAGCTTGATGAACGAATCAGCCATTTTTACAGTCCATTTTTATACATCAGTCAGTTACAGTTAATTAATTACGTTCGACTTTAATTACCAAGCTCTGCGTTGGTGTTCAAGAAGCAGAAATACATCAAACAGGTCAAAAGCTTAAAGCGCGTGTCAAATAAATTCCGAAATATCACTTTATTTCCCTCTCCCCGTTCCCCGCCCACTCGGCTTCATGTGGGTATAAACCCAAGGATCCCAACAACAATGACTCTATTAATAAAATCAATTAATTAAGAAACGCTGATGGCGCGTGTACACAGAAATATCCGTCGGATTTGGATAAGATTCGAAGCAGGCGCTCTTTCGTGAAACGATTATCCGGTTTCGGAGAAATTATCGACACCTGTAGCAGGAGGTAAAATCCGACAAGAGTTTTCTCCAATGTCTCGAGTCTTGATTTACTCCCTCCCTAATATTTACAGACATTTATGTAAATCCAGTAAGACTTCCTTTGAACTGTTGAATTTTTAAATGTAGTTAAAATCCCCTTGAACGGCCTCAATGATGGAAAGTACTAGCAGTCTTATTTTTCAGCATTTTTCTAAATACATGTGTCAATTTAGCCAAGAGTTTCGAACGTTTAAGTTAACGTTTATTTAAACTTTCTTGCTTGCTGAAGACGCGCAGTTTAACTTCAACCATCATTCGATTCAGCACTTCTAATCAATTCAAGTGTACTAAACTTATAAGCTCAGAAAAAGGAACTCTCGATGTTCTTACACATCCCCCTGAATATACCTGTATATATTCTATTGAATTCTGATTACTTTCGCTTCCCTGTTCGTTTTGTTTTTATTACTTATGTCAATGTATTACCACTATGTTAATTACGACGTTAGGGAAGTTTCCGACCGACTTCGATCACGAACTGGCGAATTCTCTGACTGGAATGACAATGGGGAAGGTATTCGAACTGTTCGCAATCTGATCGTAATATTCGGGGAAAACAGTGATCCCTAAAGGACAAATTGTCTGTGGATGTCGCTAGTCTTTTCTTCGAAAGATACCTTGAGTTGGAGAGACGGGAAAATGACGAATCCGGACTCCTCGGGCTAGTCCATATTCCGCACACTTGTAAAATAGAACTGAACAACAATTAAATAAATTTTAAAATGTAGTCAGCAAAAATGTTTCTTCATAATAGTAAGTCCTACGTCCTCACAATAGAACGGTCTTTCATATCCTTTTAATGCTTTCAATTTGTTTTTACACGGATATGTTTTAGGGCAGTATGTACAATTTTTGTTGCGTCAACGATTTCATGCTAACGAGGATTGCTTTTAGGTTAGGTTTGGTACGGTTATACGTATCTAACATTACCTACCGTTAGAATTTAAGTTACGTTAGTGTGGTTTAGGCTTAGGATTATGATTATGTTGGATTGGGTTGTTTGAGAGACGTGTTATGCTATGTGAAGTCCTGAAAGTTGAGGAAGGGTTAGGGTTGGGATTATGGATAAGTTAAATATGGTAAGGTTATATTACGTTAGTTAGTTTTAGGTTTAGTATTGCTGTTAAGTTGGTTTAGGTTCTTTCAGACAAGGGTTTTGTTAATTTAGAAAAGGAAAATTAAGGTGGGGGTTGGGATTATGGTCAGGTTAGATTTTGTTAAGTTAGGTACACGGTTAGGAGAAGTATAGGTTATGTTACGTTAGTTAGGTTTAGGTTTAGTATTACAGTTAAGTTGGTTTGGGTTCTGTCAGAGCCGGGTTATGTAACGATTAAAATAGAAAGGTTAGGTTAGGATTATGGTCAGGTTTTTTTTTTTTTTTAAATTTTTTTTTTATTTTTTTATTTTTTTTGGCCTTATGATCTTGCATATTAGCCATGGTACGAATTCTTGTGAGTTCAAATTGTGGGTTATCGGGAAAAAAGGACCAGAGGCGACGGTGGGAATCGAACCCACGACCGCGGCGTGAGAGTCTCTCATGCTAACCACTCGGCTACCGCGGTCCTCTATGGTCAGGTTAGATTTTGTTAAGTTAGGTACACGGTTAGGAGAAGTATAGGTTATGTTACGTTAGTTAGGTTTAGGTGTAGTATTACAGTTAAGTTGGTTTGGGTTCTGTCAGAGCCGTGTAATGTAACGATTAAAATAGTAAGGTTAGGTTAGGATTATGGTTAGGTTAGATTTTGTTAATTTGGGTACTGTTAGGTGAAGTACGGATTATGTTATGTTAGTTAGATTTATGTTAAGTATTACGGTTAAGTTGGTTCCGTATTCAACTTTATTTCAACCTTTAAAATGGTGAATGTTTTCTTTTAGTTTGAGACAATAATATTTAGACTTATGAGAGAGAAAACTAAGGATGAAATTGACGAAACTCATCATACATTTTATTTTTTTATCTCTTGTTTTAATTTGTATATGAGGGCCTCTTTGTAGCTATTACGTGCAGTTTATAGGGTAATAAAACCGGTAATATTTCCTGTAGAACGGTTATGTTGTTCCAAAGTTCTCACTTTTCGGGATTTACGAAAAAAAAAATTATAAGCATTTGTAAGGCAAAAAATTTGAGATAAAATATTTTTCGATTTTATCAAAAAATTGTATTTTGGTTTTTTTTTATTGGTGCGAATAACAAATAAAAACTTTGTTTCTAGTTAAAAAAAATATTTTAACCTCTTTCACTTCTTTGATAAGAGCGTGTCAAGAACGTTCGATAAATATATCTTTAATATTTTTCGAACTAGTATAACCAAAAAAGGTTTACAAAAAACCCATAAAAAGTGAGATTATCTACCCAGGCTTACTAAAATTTAAACTTTTTACTCAACAGCGAAAAGGTTTCTGGCCCTTAAGGGTGGGTTTTTTTTCCATAGAAGTTGTAACGTTTACATCCCGGCCCGGTGTCAAAGGATAATAAAGTGGCGTTTGTTTGACTATTTCGTTAACGGGAATTTGAGCGTGAACATGGGCGGTCAAGGGGGAACGACTAAACCCAAATTAACCCCCCTCCCACAATCGTTACAACAATTACCACTTCCAACTTTAACGTCACAGTTCGAATCTACCAATCTACCTGCCAGAAAATGTTCAATTTTCCCTCTATGAAATAAACAAGAAAAATGGGCTTTTTTTGTCAATTGTTTGCACCTGATGAAAGATAAGATCTTTTGTTTATAACAACAGGCAATATGCAATAGAGATGCCGACCAATAAGTTTTTATTTTATTTGGAATAATTCAAGTATCTGATATCATAACCTTAAAGACACATTGATTTTTGAAACACCCGAACTTTCCTAATTTACATTTCTGACAAATTACAAACACCCATTTTTCTGCACTTTGGAATTTCTCATTCATTAAACCACTTCTTTCATTTTCTATCAACTTATTATCTGTATTATCCTTGCGAAGTCCTCTTGACAGACTCCTCATCAAAGGCTTTCATCCTTTTTAACAATATCGGTTCATAATACCCACGGACAGATTATGGTTTCAAGCACAATTCGATGTACATCAGTGCCATCGTGTCGTAAACGTCATTGCGACCTTCCTCGACCTTACAGAATATTTTGGAATATTCTTTGACGTCGAGAAAGCACTCGATAAATTAACCTCAGAGGCATCCTCCTCAACAGTTATTTGAAATTTTGCTAGGGCCATTCACACTCTCCTATTTTCCCAGTTAACGCTGTTGTCCCCCAAGGCAGTATACTAGTTCTAATCTTCATCTCTGTTTACACCCATGATAATCATCTCTTCTGGCACCTACTGAGTTATCCTCAACAGATGTTTTCAGAAATATAAGGACCATGCACTATCTCTTGTTTTCCCAGTTAACGCTTATGACCCCACGGAAGGATTAAAGCTCATATAATCATCCCTGTTTACTCCCAAGAT